GACAAACTGGATTTCAGTAGGCTATTTTCGTACCGATACTCTCTAAGTATTAGTACTTGTATCGATACTCTAGGTGGAATACTGATACTTCTCTCCCACCAAGGGCTAGATTTTTGTATTTAATGCAGGCAATATCGATACTCCAAGCCCAAGTACCAGTACTCAAGGCATCTGGGTAGCATTTATTATGGAAAATTCTTCCCAACGGCTCTATTATCTCCCACAACAACCCAAACGACTACAATTGAATGAAGAGGTATAAAACAAGATTTCAAGTCATATGTGAATATAAGAAATTATAGAAAAAGCCAAAAGCAATCAAATTGAGTCGAAACTAAGTCAAACATTCTTCAATATACTTTTTTGCTTTCAAATAACACTTTTGTACTCATTTTTTTAGTGTTCTTATTTGTTCCTGAATTGTGCAAACACATCATAGTGAGGTTTTTTAAGTTTGCTATTTGTAATTTCTTCTTAGGAATGGTTGTACACTTGAGACTTTGGGGTATAAGGCTAAGTGTTGTAAGGTTACACCTTATCCTAAAAGGTTTGAACAAAATTAGTGAATTTGTTGAAATTCTTAGTGTGGAAGCTAAGGTAGTGGATGTAAACTTCATTAAGGAAGTTGAACCACTCTAAAATTGCTTGTGTCCAATTTTTCATTTTATAGTAAAAAGCTTCATCAATTTTTTATTTGTCAATTCACCACCTTCTTGGCTATTTCATTGGTTCGATTGACTTAACAAAACTCTTAGGTGTAATCTGAAGCCTCTTGGGTAAGAAAACACCATATATTGTTTGGTTAAGGAGGGCAAGGTTGTTAAACACTTAAACCCTCCCATAGAATTTTCTATCATGGTAACTTGGCTGTTAAGCATCAAGTACCACTTTGTCTTGTGCAAGAAACAAACAGACAATAAATAAGTATCAATAAGAATTAACATCACTTCATAACAGCCGACTTAAAGGCAAGTCACCAGCTTCAACATGTATTAATACAGAACGAATAGTAAGAATCAACATAAAGAAACAACTTGAGTGTAAGTATATAACAAGGTGGACCAACATATCCTTATCAAGGAGAAGCAGAGATTCAAACCCAACAAATATTGCAGTCAACACTTATCCATAGTCTGATGAAAGAACTAACAATCCAACTAGCATACTGTAAATATTTCCTCAGTAAACTTCTGCTACAAAGTAGAATTGACATTTAACTACATGTTGATTTAACCTACTAGAATGCAATCGTGCACCAACCAAACAACTCATTATTCAAGAGGTTATGTCAAATCAATCACCAATACTCACAAGAAAATCACCTTCAAGAGAGCGTTAACTCCAACATCTTCAGCAGGCGAAACATGTGAGGAAAATACGAAATCAGGTAGTGATAACCATGGCCAAAATAGAGAAGCTTTGGATCGATAGAAGTTCTAATCGTCTACTAAAAAATCTCATTTAGACATTTTGTCGAACACCTTAGGACAATTACACGCATCAAAGGCCAAGTCTAAATATAGCTAGGAGTATGAACAATGATATGTTGCAAAATCATAGGATATGTGGCCTAAGCCAGCCTATCCTTTCCTACTGAATTTAATAACAAGTTAGGTGACAGGTCCCCCACACCACGATTCCAAAGTAAAATTGTACATTTTGCTGTACCACTATTATATTTAATTATATAATTAAATTCGATGGGCCAAACCGAATCTCTCTGACAAACAACTTTTTCTAAATTCTCAATAATTTTATCCAAAAATCACCCTTACAGTTAAATATTACTTGTCATGCATTATTTTTTCAAATATTATCAGTCGAGCACATTTTTGACAAAGTACAGATCACGAGACACATTTTTGTAAAGTTTTGTCTGAGATGGTGACACGGTGAAAATACATATATCATAATTCGCGCCTTTATGTGGTTATATCCGAGCTGATGCCACGGTGGTAAAGCGCGGATCATGAAGCGTGCATTTGCTTTAAATCCCGCCTTAAATCCCGCACAAACCCTTGTCCCCTATAAATATCCCCTCATCCAACATTCGTAACACACAAAAAACACTATATTTCTTCATTTTATATATCGTTTTATTAAGTTTTAAGAAATATAGTTATCGCTTTTTTAAGTTAATTTTTATTATAATATAATCATTTAATAGTTTATTATTTTATTATATTTTATTGTACTAATTTTTATTAATTTTTACAGTTATAAAATGACAGGCGGGTTTTTGCGTTTAGATGAGAATAATATATCGAGTCATTTTGCCGATTACGGTAATAATTTTAAATTATGTTATTTTATTTATTGAGAATGTTTTATTCATTTATTTTTTTAGTATTATTTTATATTTTAATTTGTATACTATTTATTTAATTAGGTGATGACCATATATTATATATTTATTCGTAACGCTAAATTAGAGATATTGAATTGTGTCTAGTCGTATTTAGCTGAGGCTGGATTCGGTTACATTACAAAAAATGAAGAGCACTGTAACCTTGAATCCAACCTTATTTCTACATTGATTGAGAGGTGGAGACTAGAGACACACACATTCCATCTTTTGTGTGGGGAGTTCACTCTTATGATGGAGGATGTTTCCTTACATTAGGGCTTCCGGTAGATGGAGATGTGTTGAATAATCGGGTGCCCTGGGCGACGCTAGATTTTTTTTTTCATTCAATATCTCATAGGTTTTAGTTACATCTCCTTTATAATAAATAAACCCTGGTGAATATCCTGCCCCTTAGGAAACATTCAATGTGGGTTGGGTTACCTTACTTCTTAACAACTCGAAAACTCAACAAGTCCAAGAAATGCATGAACTTGCTGTCGTAACTGGCTTGGTGACATATCAGTGGCATTCTCATCAGTATGTACCTTCTGAAACAAAATCTCTCCAGATGTAACCAACTCTCTGATCTTGTGAACCTTACATCAATATGCTTAGTTCTAGCACGATATACATGATTCTTAGCCAAGTGAATAGTACTTTGATTGTCACAAAGCAACTGAACTCCACCTTACTAAACACCCAACTCCTTCACTAAACCAGTAAGCCATAAAACTTCTTTTGCAAACTTCAGCCGCTGCCATGTATTCAACTTTAGTTGTAGATAATGCCACAACATATTGAATAGTAGACTTCCAACAAATAGGCCCTTTACCAAGAGTAAAGACATACCCTGTCGTAGATCTTCTATTATACAAATCACCCGCATAGTCCGAATCAACATATCCTACAACCAAAGGATTATCCCGCTGACTACCAAAAACAATTACATGTCCCACAGTACCCTTTAAGTACCTAAAGATCCACTTGCCTGCTTCCCAATGTTGCTTACCAGGTTTAGACATGTACTTACAAACTTAACTAACAACATGAGCTAAATCAGGACGAGTACATACCATTGCATACATCAAGCAGCCAACAACATTAGAATACGGAACCTTTGCCATATCTTCAGCTTCCTTATCTGTCTTAGGGTACTGTTCTGATGAAAGCTTAAAGTGATTCGCCAATGGAGTGCTCACTGGTTTTGCGATGCTCATCGTAAACCTTTCTAGCATTTTCTCAACATAACCTCGTTAAGATAGCCACAGTTTCCTCGAGTCTCTGTCCCTGTAAATTTCAATTCCAAGAATTTTCTTTTTAGCACCTAAATCTTTCATATAAAATTCCTGACTCAATAAAGTTTTCAAACCGATAACATCATCTATGCTCTTTAGCGACAATTAACATATCATCAACATACAGTAACAGAAAAATAACAGAACCATCATAAAGGCTCTTAACATAGACGCAACAATCATACTCGCATCGTTTGTAGCCAATTTTGATCATAAAGGAGTCAAACCGTTTGTACCATTGTCTCGGGACTGTTTCAACCCGTACAAAGATTTCTTTAATCTGCAAACTAAATGATCATTTCCAGGTTGAGTGAAACCTTCAGGCTGCTTTATGTAGATATGCTCATCTAAATCACCATGCAAACAAGTAGTTTTAACATCTATCTGATCTAAATGCAAATCCTAACTAGCCACCAATGCAAATACTGCTCGGGTTGAAGTGTGTCTGACCACATGAGAAAACTTTCATTATAATTGTAGACACTAATTTTTCAGTTTGTTTTTTTATTTTTATTATTTTTATTATTATACATTATTATTATTATTATTATATTTATTATTATTATTAAATAAATATTACAAAGCCCAAAATCTGCCTATTTTACAAAACTCGGATGACCCAAAACGGTCCAGGCCCAAGCCTAAACCTAACCCTAATGATACAGGGTTTGTATCATCTCATCAACAGCCAGACGCCTCAGCATCACAACCGTTGGATCTGGCAAGATCCAACGGCCCACACACATCCAGAACAAACCCTAGGGACCACGAGGCGCCGCCTCTGCCTCCAATCGCCCCACGTCGACGTTCCAGCTGCTGCCGCCCTCACCAGAAGCCTCCAGAAGACCTTAACGACCGTCCACGTCGCAACTATGGGGTGAGTCACCACATAGTTCGGTGACTCACCGAGAATCCCTTTGGGACCGTCCGACGAGAGCCTCATCGAGGCTATAAAGCCTCAGTTCACCTGCAAACAAGAAAAAGGCAGCGAGCAAGAACGAAGAACATAGCAACCAAAATAGAATCGAGAGAAAAAGAGAGGAAAGACGAAGAACAACCACAACAACGAGCCAAACAACACCCATAGCAGCGAATCGAAAACAAAGAGAGAAGAAAGGAAAAGACTTACCCTCGGGAAGCCCAAGCATAGCCGGAAACTATGTAAAAACCGAGGTAAAACCGTAGGTTTGTTTTCTAGATTTACTCCGATTAGGAGATTTTTAAGGAAAACTAAGGTTAGGTTCGCTTTAGGGGGTTTAGAGCTCCGTTTTGGGGTATTTTGGGATTTTTCGACCACCGTGATGGTGCCCGGCGGTGGTGACCGACGCCGGAGCACGGCTACCAGCCAGTGATCTCCCTCTCTGTTTTAGAGCGAAGCTGAAAAACGAAAATGAGAGGAGATGGCCATTTTAGACCGATTTTAGGGTATTTATACCCTCTCCCAAATGACGCCGTTTTAGGGGAGGGTATCTATGTAATTTTCCTTTTGGGAAAATCATTTCCGCAACACCCACAGATTCGTAACATTGCAATTTAGTCACAGGAATTAATTGCTAATCCTTTTAATTTAATCTCGTAATTTTATTTTATTTTATTTTAGTCCTTATCTGCATATATATTTATTTAGGGTAAATACCTAATTTAGTCTCTTACAGTTTAGTAATTATCATTTTAATTTGAATTAATTAAATAAGGCTAAATTACATTATTAGCACTTAGATCTTTTTATTATTCGATTTAGAACCTTTAATTTTAATAATTATCATTTTAATCACCTATTAATAATTAGGGTTAATTACATCATTAGTAATTATATTTTATAATACTATAAATAAGGGCTGTAAAATTTTAATTTTTATTATTTAGTCACTATTTAATTGCAATTTAATTTGTATTATTATCATTTCAGTTCCAATATGTTTAAATGATTACTTTAATTATTATTTTAGTCATATATATATATATATATATATATTTGTTTAATTGATAATATTTATTTATTTTTAATATCAAAGAAAATGATATCTTAAAGCAACTAGATGTCATATTCTGATATTTTAAAAATAAATAAATATTCTACTTATAAAAACCAAAAATACATATTGTTTTATTTAAATTATTTTCTTAGAAAAATAATATTTTAAATATATATTTATTTTTCAATATTAAGAAAGGGCAGTCTTAAAAAACTGGATGTCCATTTTCTGATATTTTTAAATAAATATTTTACTTTTATCAAATATATATATTAATAGAAATATTTTATTAATATTTATTTATTTTTAAGAAATGAGTTGTCTTAATGCACCTAGAAGCCCTTTTCTGATATTTCTAAATAAATAAATATCTTATTTATATATATAAATTAATATATTTTCTTAAAATTATAAATTTGAAATAATAGGATTACAAATTAAATATATTTTTGAATTTCCAATAATAGAGACAATTTATAATTAATGAGTACCAATTTAGGGCGTTGTGGGGTGCTAATCCTTCCCCAAACGTAATCGACCACGAATCCCTTTTATTATTAAAAAGAACAAATTTTTGGTTAAAACGCAGACCAGTTTATCTTTTAACTGATGTTTTCTTAAAAACTCTTTTAAAAGATAATTTTTAGGTATTCGACCTATCTGATCCAAAAGGCCGATGGCGACTCCCAAAACATTTTTAAAAACCATTTATTCACATCACTTTTCCCGCCAAGTAAAAATTTCGTGCCCAGACGAAAACCGTTACGACAATAATCAACTACTTTCTACTTGAAAAACCCTTTGCTACCAAACGAGCCTTGAACTTCTCCCCCTCTTTTTCTGCTACTGTTGGTTTCTTCTTATATACCCTTTGCAACCAATAGGCTTCTTACCCTCAGGAAGGTGAACTAACTTCTATGTACGATTGTGATTCAAAGACTCCATCTCCTCAACCATGGCATCCATCCACTTGTCGTTTGCCTGACTAGTAACAGCACCATGAAAAGTAATTGGATCGTCACTGCTAAAGTAAGTGCACAAGAGACCAAGTCTTCAAAACCCAATCTACTCGGAAGCTTTATATTCATCCGTCTCACCCTGTCTCTGGCGAGACTATAATCCTGCAAATCAACCATAGAGAACCACCAGAAGTCGGTTGAGAAATTTCTATTTTCTCAACTGGAAACTGCTCAAAATCCACCATGTCGTGTCTTTCTTCTGCAGCAACATGGGTTGTTCATCAAAAACAATATCTCTATTGATCACAATTTTCTTCGCAATTGGATCCCAGAACTTGAATCCTTTGACACCTGTCTTGTAACCCAGAAAAATTCACTCCTTCGATTTTGCATCAAGTTTGGATCTCTCATCAGTAGGTACATGCACATAAGCAGGATAACCAAAAATCCGTAAGTGATCAAAAGGACCATTTCATACCTCTTCTGCAACTTTCCCTGCCAATGATGCCCTTGGAGATCTATTGATAAGATAACACGACATGTTAATAGCCTCAGCCAGAAGTGTTTGGGAAGCCCCATTCAACCGCAAACATCTGACTCTTTCATTCAACGACCTGTTCATCCATTCCGTAATACAATTCTGTCGTGGTATCTTGCACGCTGTAAAATGCCTCTTAATCCCATGCTCCTTACAGTAGTTTAAAAACTGTGAATATGTGTACTCCATACCATTTTCAAACCGCAAACACTTGATTTTTCGTCCTATTTGGTTTTCTACCTCAGCTTTCCACAGCTTGAACTTCTCAAAACGTCAGACTTCTGTTTCAAAAAATACACCCAAACTTTCGTGAAAAATCGTCAAAAAAGTAACATAATACCTAGATCCACCCAAAGACGATATCGTGGAAGGCCCCCATACATCAGAATGCACATAATAAAATCCCTTCAGTTGTGTGCTTCCTAGTCTGAAACGAACTTTAGTCTATTTACCAAGAACACAATACTTACAAAAATCGTGCTTACAACTTTTAACACCATGCAACATATTTCTTTTATGTAATTCAACCATACCATGTTCACTGAGATGAGCAAGACACATATGCCACATTTTGGTAGTATCATCACAGTACTCAACAGAATAAACTCCACTTACAACGGTACTCCCTAACAATCTGTAAATATTCCCTGCATTCATCTTCCTTTCATCACAGTCAAAGCTCCTTTAACAATCAAAATGGTTTCCCTATCCTCATCAGCCATAGGGATAAAACCATTCTTGTGCAAAGTTCCCAAAGAAATCAAATTATTCTTCAAATCTGGGATATGCCGAACACCACACAACGTCCAAATAGAACCATCATACATCTTAATTCTAACATCACCAATACCAATAATATTGCAACATCGATCATCACTCAAATAAACAGAACCATAATTAACCGACATGTATGTCGAAAACCATTCCCTATTTGGTGTGATGTGATAAGAACATCCAAAATCAAGAATCCAAGCATCCATCAATTGAGTCGTTGAAATAGAGAACATATCACCCTCAGTGTAATCAAAATTGTCATCCTCGACCACATTCACAGACTTGGATGAGTCATCACGCTTCTCATCAGTCTGCTTTTTCAACTTCGGACAGTCTCTTCATATGTCTAGCCTCCTTGCACTTGTAATAGTGAATTGTCTTCTTATCCCTAGATTTAGATCTGAAATTCCTCTTCACATACCTTACCTTCTCTGGCTTTCGCCACGGTCTCGATTACCCTTGATATATTAGCTATCAGCTTGAGAGTTTTCCCCTGCATTCCGCTTCCGCTGGTTGTGAGCCAACAAGGCTGCATTAATCTCCTAAACTTTGATAGTCTCTTTCCCATATGTAAGAGTAGTCACCATGTGTTCGTAAGAGGGAGGCAACGAATATAACATAATCATCGCTTTATCTTCATCCTCAATTTTCACATCAAGTCAAGCCAAATTAGAAACGATTGATTGAAGACATTCATGTGTTGCCTCAAATCATGATGTTTGCTGCGTTTTTCCACCGTGGCCCTAGCTCAGACAAAACGTTGCGAATGCACACCTCCTAATACACACTTTGTGAGAAAGGGTGCTAGATCAATAATACTTGGAGAAAGGATACCTGACAGGTAATATTTTGTTGCTAGGGTGTTATTTGGGTAAAATTGCCGCAATTCTCACCCTCTGCCCATACTCCACTATCACTGCCAATTCTGTGTGTTTTCAATCTTATTTTATATCCATTATCAATTTACAATACACCACCTGTTTTTCACCTTAGTTTGGAAACCACAAAAGTAGAGAAACTTTTTCCATTTCAACAACATTATTAATTATTAATTTAACTATTAATAGTATGGGAATTAACACACACAATTAGTAATGATAATCTATCGTTACATACACTTAATAAATTTTATAATTGAAGTAGTTTAGACAAGGTTGCAAAACTGTTTCAATGATTGAATAAATTAAATTAACGGGTTTTGATTTAATTTGTTCGATTAGTTGATAATCATTAAAAATTTAGAAAAAAATTAACAAAAATACTTTTCATAATTCAATTGATTTATCTATTCCCCCCCTAAAATGTTGATATTAGTTCATGAAAATAAAATGATTTTATTTTATTTTATTAATCTAATTTATTAAGTTATTGATTTTTGATTGAAGATTAATATTTCTCATTTCTTCACATGTGAGTTATTAAATTATTTAGTTTAAAATGAAAGAGTCAAATGAAAGTTTTGATATCATTTATCATAAAATTATTATTATTTTTCCGAAATACATATATATGATATAATATAAGATCAATTACACATTTAGTCATATATACGTGGTTTTATTTTGATTATTCAATTATTTTTTTAAAATAATATTTAATTTTAGACATTTGTTGTAAAAAATTAACAGAACTGATGACTTGTAATTTGTTTTAATGATGATGATAACACGTTAATATCAAACTTAATTTTTTAATAAATTAAAAACGTCATATTAGATATAATTTTAAAAAAAACAGTTAAATAACCAAAATAGAATCACATAAATTATTAGGAGACTAAATATATTTATTCTAAAATATATGACTTCATCCATTCCCATGATAGAAAATAACACCAGGTGTATGACATTAATCACCCATCCACTCGGCCACTAGTTTTCCCAAGCACTTTAGTAGAAAAATACAAAGGGGATTAGACATAAATACCTAACTGTAAACTCGTCAGTGCCGTTTCGGGGGATCTTTGCTTGTCTGCCACGAAACGCCTCAGTTCTGTTCTCTATAACTAAAACGCTAATAATTCCATAATTTCTCCTCCCCAATATAGCCATTACCAGTCACCATCCCATCTTTCTCTATTCTCTCCCTCAAAAAGCCTCCCCCTTTGCCTTCCCTGAGTATCAACTCCACAAAGCCCCAAACTTTAACACTTCCCCATAAACTGGCTATTATGCGCCATGACGCCCATTATTCCCCTCCTCCTCTCCTCTCTCCTTCTCCACAACCCGCCCTAAACGCCACCGCCGGCGACCAGCCCCCAATGCTGGTTTCTGTTTTATTGGCCCTTTTCCTACCGTGCGCCGGCATGAGTGCGGTTTTCATTGTTTATATTTGTCTCTTGTGGTATGCCACGAATTATCGGGCTGATTATTCAGGGTCGTGGTCGGTTAAGCAAGTGGGTGAGAAAGGGTTGTCAGTTTCGGAGCTCGAGAAGTTGCCCAAGGTTACCGGGAAGGACCTTGTGTTGGGGACCGAGTGTGCGGTTTGTCTCGATGAGATCGAGGCGGATCAATCGGCCAGAATGGTTCCCGGTTGTCGTCACGGCTTTCATTTGCAATGTGCTGATACTTGGCTCTCGAAGCACTCGGTGTGTCCTCTTTGTAGGGCCAAGCTTGAGCCTGAGTTGTTCGATCCTAGTGATGATAATCCCTGCTAAACCTTGTTTGAGTATAAAGTTCAGTGTTTTGGGTGTTTATATAAAGGGGTTTCCTAGCAAGAGATCAAGAAAAACGTTAGTATTTCACTTTCATCTATGTATGGGTTTTCGTTTCTCTTCTGGTTTAGTGATATTTCATTAGTTGAATCAATTCTCATTCATTGATACTAATGTAGACAAGTAAAAGTCCGTCCTTGAAGAAATTGCTTTCTTTTTGTTCAATGTGAAAGTTGAAAAAAAGGTGGTGATCAAGGGGGTCAAGCAAGAACATTTTGATAGAGTAATTGGAAAAAGGTAGACACATGAACTGTCATTAGTACCTTGTGGCGCACATAATGTATCTTATCAGCAACAACTATTATTACTGTACTCAAATTAAAACTTACCAGGGATGTGTAGCATTTGGCAGTGTGCATCAATCTGGGCATGCCACGTAAGGACAAATAGCTTTCGAATATATTTCCTTAGAATTAATTTGCCAAAATGGGTCCCAAGTCCACCAGTGTATTTTGCATGAAGAGTGACTGGTGGCAGATTGGTGAGACTCGAGCATTGCAATGGCATCTCGCCGACTGCTAAAAACCTAGAACTTTTAGCCCACAGTTTTAGGGTTGTGTTTCCTAGTTTTATCTGAATCAAATGAATACATGCATCAACCTAACTTGAATAAAAATCATGTAAATTATATTAAGTAAATTAAATTGTCACTTGACCTGACCACCACGGCTCTACATTTACTCTGTATAGCAATAAGTTTTGTAAGATCGTCGGAAGTTTGTATTTTTGGTACATATATAATATTATTAAATTTAAAGACGATTTAGTGACCATTTAACAAACAGGTGTAATATAAGCATAGGAAAGTGTTAGCACTGCTTAATTAACTTGTTAAATATCATAATAATCATGAGTTTTTCACATAGATCTTTCAATAATTGTGTGGTTTTTGTTTGATATGATGTGGACCAGAAAGAAGGGGCCACGTCATACTTCTTGAAACTTGTTGATTGTTTGTAATGTAATGGGTATAGGTATACAAGTAGAGATGCAAATTTATCGACATGTTTAGTTTACTTGTCATTTTTTTTGGAATGGGTATGGATGTGAATGATTGATTCCAATTATTTATTCATATGATAGGATTAGGATTCACTGTTTTAAAAAATAATAATTTAAAATTTATTGAATGGTTTGAGTGATAAAAAAATATATTTTTAGAGATTTTAAATTTAAATAATTATATCTGTAGTTTATAGTATTATCTATTTATAATCATTTTAGCAATTAATAACATTCACGTATCTTGTAGACATAATTGTTTAAATTCTGACCCTCTAAAAAAATAATATTTCTTTTTACCACTGATATTACTCTGTGATTCTTATTATAAATATTTTTTAAAGAAAAATTAATAATGAAATATATTTCATTCCGTGATATTTTTATGCAAATAGTTTCTAAACTTTCTTGGTTATCCTGAGTTGAGTGAAAACATATTCACATTGGGAATATATGTTCGAGGCTGTGTAATAGCCCGGTATCCTAAAATCTTAACCCCACATTCATAGAAAATAAAAATATAGCCAGCTACATTAGCTATTATTCGGGACATGGTGTCCGCCTTTGGCTTCTTGCAAAGTTATTCGGTATAGAGCTATCAAACATTCGAGCTAAGTTCCACTTATGGGTGTTTATTGACCAAGTTGATTGTGAGTTGGATAGTATTCAATTCATGTTTGTTATCATATTTTATTATTTAACTTAATTCGTTTCTTATTAAGTTCGTTAAAAGTTTATTCGATTCGTACTCGTTAAAAAAATTATTGCTCGTTACGTTCGTTTCTCGTTAAGTTCGATATTCGTTAAACTCATTGTTCTCATCTTTGCTCGTTAAGCTCATCGAAATTTTTATCATGTTTTTAATTATATGTAAAACCTACTAATATTATATAGAGTTTAATATACACATAAATTAATAATTTAAACCAAAAAATTATTAAAAGAATGTAAAAATAATTTCAAAGTCTAAACTCTAAAGTAACAATCTATACATACATTAATATAATAAATAGAGTTTGATTTATAGGTGTATTAAAATAATAATTATTAATTAATAATTTAATAATTTTTTTGTATATTAGAAAATTAATAGATTAATAATTTATCATTTCTTTTATTATCTATTAGTAAATCGATAATTTTTTAATGAAATAATTTTTTAAGATAACTACTAAAAAATATTTGAAAGAATTAACGAGTTATTAATGAATTTATTGAGTCGTGTTGGATTTTATTCGATTTGACTCGTTAAGGTCAAATCAAATTTAAATTCAAGTCGAATCAATTTGAATCAAACTTTAATCAAATTTATTTCAAGTTAGTCACGAACTACTCACCTAATTAATCACCCTAATTCCATTATATTAATGACGTGCGTCTCACAACATTTCTTTATTTGAATTTCAGATATATTTTTTTCTTTAGAAAAAATAGTAAGGATTTGTAAAAGAGTTTATAGATGGAATCAGGTTTGAGTCTGATCGAGATTTAGAAATTAATATATTTCACATTAGATTAAATCTAGTTCATTTATCATTTTATTTAATTCTATTTGTATTAATAAAAAATTAATTCAAATATATTTTATATTTAACTATATTATTTTTATAAAATAAATAAAGAATTAATTGTTTATGTAGTACTTGGGATGGCAGACAGGTACAAGTTTGTGAATTTTGCACTGTATCCATTCCAATTGGGACATGAATGGATATCATTTTAGTAGGTGGGGGCGGGTGTGGATGTAAAAAGTTATACCAGTCGATAGTAGTGGATAAGTGATAAGTATAAGACCTTAATTGCTCTGTATCCTTCCGCCTCACATCCTCTCGCCCACTAATTACCCACATATCCCTTATATATATGTGTATGTCCCTAGTTATTAGGGTTTTTAAATTTAAATTTAATTAAGAGTATAATTACATTATTTAATTAAATTCATTATTTATGTGTAATTAAAATTACTCATATATATATATATATATTAATATTAAATAAAAATTATATTCATGTACAATTAAATTGTACAATTGTGACACATTTATAAGTTGCTCTATTTTTTCAACCATTGGGTGTGACCCTATATGTTCCTATAACGTTAGTTGTAATAATTAGAACTATTCTAATATTACAAACAATGACTGACATCTAGCAATATGTCATTGTTACCTAAGTTACGGGAAGTCATGATTCAACATAACATGTCTGTGAGAAACTCTTTTAATGTATTATATCATTTTGTCCTTTATATCTAGAAGAGGCACAAGTCTTGGAATAGTCACACTTGTGTAGCTCATCTATTACTTATTGATATCTATAGTAGACTTTAATAACTGAATAATTTGTGATGTCTCATATAAACGTATTCGAGCATGGCCATGCATTTCTAGTCTCACTCAATTAAGTGGCATGTGATATATTTCCTATTATATAGGAAAAACAAATCCTATCTTGAGCATTCACACCCCACTACATATATCGTGATATCTTCAATGTCAGTCTTTATAGTGCAACCAGTTACGAACATACAACAATATATGTTGAGATTGTAATGATCTCAAGTCTAAGGATTATACATATAGTTGTCACTATGAGAATATTGTGACCATCGCATAATAATCCAAGACATATGCTCATAGCAGGTCAATCCAATATATTGTTCTCTAACAATATATTCATGTATCAATTTTGACATCTCTGTGTCAATGACAACTCATTGTCATCAATCAATAACATATTAGTCTTAAGCGTATTATTACTATCAATGCCCAAAATAATATTTGAGTACATATGCTTTAATAATAATCACATTAATGTACGAACATTGTTATCTTTTAGTTTATTTAATGCACAAAAATACAATAAAATAAAAAACGATAATGTCATTATTTGATAAATACGGTAAATAAAATATGTTAGTACAATCATATATAATTGGTATTTGAGCATACTCTAACACAAAGTTGACTCATATATATCTAGTGATGATTATTCGATTTCTTCCAATCAGTGCTCGAAAGAAACCATGAGGAATTTGAGGCAATTTCACCTTACCTAGAGGGTAAGTTAAAGTGCATCACGACTTTGTTTAAAGGTGATGCTATCGACTGGTGGGAGACTGTAGAGATGACTCTACATCCGGAGGTGCCTACGTGGGTTAGTTTCTGAGCGAGTTTAGAGGCAAGTATATCATCGAGGCATAGATGGATGATTTGAGAATGCATTTTTCTCAACTAGTTCAGGGATATCGCTCAGTGTACGAGTACGAGAGGAATTTCCTTTGATTAAGTCGTTATGTTTTAGAGTTGGTTGCGATTAATTCTTGAGGTCTAAGAGATTCCTCAATGAAAATCATATTGATATCCATGTGCAGTTGAAGGTAGACCCGCCTAGGGTATTTTCAGAGTTGACATGACATGCTAAGGTTGTGGAGAGGGTGTAGAGTATGGGAAGAGTTTCTGGGCGAATCAAGCATTCCAACTGTAAGGGCTTGTATACTAGTGGATCTATCTCAATCAGTGGTAGAAAGGTCCAGAGGTTCGTATGAGCATAGGAAAGGGCATCAGCTTTGTCACTCTAATCAAGTCAGGGGTCAAACCTAGGGTCTCGTAGAAGACGATTAACTTCACTATTTGTGTCGAGCTCTAAAGGCACTGATAGAGTTTTGAGGCATCCAAAGTGCAAGCATTGTGGAAAAAATCATCAAGGAATGTGTTTTAAGCTCTCTAAGAAGTGTTATAAATGTCGATCCTTAGTGCATTTAGTGAAGGATTACCCTAGTTTAGATGGTGATATTTCAGTTCAACTTAGGGAAATAATCCCAGTAACTTAGCATAGCAGATAGCCTACCCAGAGAGGTGTTAATTCTATGATCAGGCATGAGAGTAGAGGAGTGGATCGACCTATTCGCGATTCGGCCTTGCATGATCCAACTTGTAAGATCATAAATAGGAAAAGTCATGACATTGACGTCGCAAATGAGATGACAGGTATGTTTTCAACTAACCTAGTTTTTCATGTTGATCTAGTATACATAAGTGCATGCACTCTTTTACGGTTTCAAGCGAAATAGGTAGAAAAAGTATTAGTGTAGATGATCCAGA